CAGTTCCTCTGAGAAACACCCTCAGTTTCTATTTTTCTTCTGTACTTTCTTCTATAATAAGAAAGGGAGGGAGAGAGGAATCAAGACTCAGTGATGAAGACACTGGTCTGTAAATTGTGGATATTTTTCCAGTTTGGCACCCTCTGGGAGCAACAGCAAGTGTCTTAATCTCTCTTTCTGCCTCAGTTGCCTTTGGGGAATGGCATATACATTCCTTCTCTCCTGTTTTCTCTCTCTTTATGCTCCTTGTTCTGCAGAGCAGCACAAAATCCTTAATGTGTGTTTGTAAAAGGTTTCAACGGCAGTAGTAGTTTCTGTAGTATATTATTAATGTACAAACTGCTTACTCTTCTCATTTTTAGCCCATTTGCACCATGGGGATATTGTGTTGGCCTACTTTGCAGGGTGGTTGTAAAGACTGCTGTGACAATGCATGCGAAGCACTGTGAAATTTCAAATGTGCTACATAAGTGCTGATGATGACCATATCCTAGGGTTGCTAATTTTCAAAGAGTAAAAACCAGGACACCCCAGAAGTTGTTGTGCCTTTTTAAGGGAACCCACAGAATTGATGATGTGCTCTTTTAAGGAAAACCCAAAAGTTGTTTTTAGACAAGCCCAAAAGTTCTTGAGCTTTCATGATTTTTTGATTGACTTGCGTAAGATCTAGGACAAAGAGCCGCCTTTCAGAAATCCCCCCTGGACGTCACCTCATTTATCTCCACAACACCCCTTTGCAGGAAGATGCATTGACAACAGAGAAGCTCCAGTCTGACACGGGTCCTTTCTATACTGTGATCACACAAACTGATTATTTATATATTGCATTTGGCATATGGTCTCCTCTTCTTCTTTTTTGCCAGAAAAGGGTTATGATCATTTTGAGAGGGGGTGAGAGCGGGACACACATTATATTTCAAACCTTCCTATCAGTAACAGTGCAAAGCTAGAAGTACCCTGAGCTATCCTCATGAATAGTCATATTGTTATTGTGACAAAGGGCACAGCAGCGTAATGGGAGGAGATTTTCAAAGAACTACCATCCCTGAGTCATCTTAATGGCGTGCTATTTTGATTACAAAACACAAGGAACTATATGGGGGAAATATGAAGTACTTCTTTTAGCTTTTCTTGTTGTGATATCCACATTTTTTTATCCTAGTGTCATATCTGGCTTTTCAAATGATAGCTGCAGTATGTTTTATTTATATTATTTTGCAACACGATTTATGCCCTGCTTTCCAGGTCCAGCTGGAGATGCCCTATACAATATTTTTATGAGTTGTAGGTGCCAGAGTTTGGAGATGCCACACTCCCATAATTCCTGGATTTAGTAAGTGCTATAATTTAATCAAACCCCCTGAATCCCTGGATCCAGCAGGGATTAAATTGCTGGAATAGCCAGGCCAGCCTGACAATGGCTGCGAAGTAAAGGTAAAGCTAGAGGGACCCCTGACCATCAGGTCCAGTCGTGGCTGACTCTGGGGTTGCGGCACTCATCTCGCTTTATTGGCCGAGGGAGCTGGCGTACAGCTTCCGGGTCATGTGGCCAGCATGACTAAGCCACTTCTGGCGAACCAGAGCAGTGCACGGAAACGCTGTTTACCTTCCCGCCGGAGCGGTACCTATTTATCTACTTGTACTTTGACGTGCTTTCGTACTGCTAGGTTGGCAGGAGCATGGACCGAGCAACAAGAAATAGACTGGCTCCGGAGAAACTGAACCTGTGAGTGGAGCCCATAAGTAGCTGTGTAATTTGCTTGAACTTTGTGGAGATACAACAAGGAATTCTGTGTAGCTGTTTGATTTACTTGGACTGAGAACTCAATGAAAACACGGAAGCCCCAGGACAAAGGGCTATGCAGGCAGCTGCCTGGTGGAGGAGAAGCAGAGATTTGGGTCTGATTTCTGAGACTGTTTACTTTTGCTGCAGGGATTCTTCCTGCAAGGCTTAGCAATGGATTTTGAAACACTGTGCTTTATGGTTTTTGTCGGTTTAAAGGTTTTTTAGAATTGCTGTTGGTGCGTTTGAAAGCTGCTTTGAAATGCAGATCTGGCTGGAGTATGCACCAAGAAGGTAGAAGGAAGGCTAATTAATTCTTGGTTAACTGGAAATTGCTAGAAAGGGAAAGACTGTTGCTGGGCTGTATTGAGTTAAAATTGAGGGACGCGGGTGGCGCTGTGGGTTAAACCACAGAGCCTAGGACTTGCTGATCAGAAGGTCGGCGGTTCGAATCCCCGCAACGGGGTGAGCTCCCGTTCCTTGGTCCCAGCTCCTGCCAACCTAGCAGTTCGAAAGCACATCAAAGTGCAAGTAGATAAATAGGGAAGGTAAACAGTGTTTCCATGCGCTGCTCTGGTTAGCCAGAAGCGGCTTAGTCATGCTGGCCACATGACCTGGAAGCTGTCTGCGCACAAACGCCGGCTCCCTCGGCCTATAGAGCAAGATGAGCGCCGCAACCCCAGAGTCGGTCACGACTGGACTTAATGGTCAGGGGTCCCTTTACCTTTACCTATTGAGTTAAAAAGTTTCATTGTGTTGTGATCTGCTTTGATGATTTTTTCTGGATGCCTTTACTAACTTATTTCTTATGTGCATCTGGAACAGGTGTGTCTTTCTTAGAATCTTGCACCACTTTACAGAAATCTCGCACTACTCATGGAGATTGGGGTTGCATGTATCATAACAATCAACAGAGAGCCAGACTAAAATAAATATGTAAGCAGCAAAAGCTTGCTGAAAAAGAAAAAAAATCCAAGCAATGGTGGAACACCAGCTTGAATGTGGGCTGCCCCACGCTGACCTTCCATAGCAGAGAGTTCTAACTACTGGTTCCAATTAATGGAAAGGTCCCTCCCTGTTGTAGCCACCACTGATTCTCCCTGGAAGGCACACACAAAACAGCCCCCTCAGATGACCTTTTAAGGCAGGCTGACCCATGCCAAAGGAAGCAGTCCTTTAGGTAGTGTGGTCCCAAGCCATTTAGGTAATAAGCAGCACCTTAAATTTATGAATTGGGGGGGGGGGAATGCAGACTGCCCTCTGTGAAACATGATCAGTTAATGCAGGCATTGGCAAACTTGGCTTTCCAGATGTTTTGGGACTACAACTCCCATCATCCCTGACCACTGGTCCTGTTAGCTAGGGATGATGGGAGTTGTAGTCCCAAAACATCTGGAGGGCTGAGTTTGCCTATGCCTGAGTTAACGTGACAAGACTTTAGACTACATCGCGTTATGATCTGTGTCATCTCTCTGATATTGCATTTAATCTGTCGCAATGAAACTTTGCTGCAAATAGCACATTGCTTAGGAAAGGGGTCAGGCAGAAGACAGTGGGGTGAGAGGAGGACAGGGGAAGGTGAGAGAAAAAGAGATGAGTGAGAAGGGGATGGAAGGGGGGACTGTACGCACCATACATGGCTTCCCTCAATGAATCCTGGGAACTGTAGTTTACTCCTCATCTCCCAGCACCCTTAACAAATGACAGTCATGTGGGGGAAGTCATGTGCTTTAAATATATGGTGTATACACAGCCACAGAGAGATGTGCCAGAGAGAAGGAAATGTGTGATAAGATGGCACATGGCAGGTGGGCAGGGAGAAGGAAGCAGCAGCATAGTAGTGGGCCTTTTATCTCATTATTTGGATTAAAAAAAACCCACTTCATCCCAACAGAATAAAATGCATATACAAAATATAATAAGGTATGAGAAATTAAAATGCTTCCAGGATGGTTTAACTCTGTCCAGACAAGCCACTTAAAAGCATTTGTGAGGAAAGAATTTGGGCTTAAAATTTAGGCAAGATCCCAAAGGAAGGGCACCCTTTTTATGTGGCCCTGATCAATCGATCTTGATTTATGAGTGGTACAGTTAAGAGGATGCTGGCAACTGATCTTGTCCAAGCAGGTGCAGTTTTAAAATTTCCAATCTGAGTTATAATGACCTTTTAAAAAATTTAAATTGCTTTGCTTTCAGACAAATGCTGTTCAAAGGCGTGGCTTTCTTCATGCCTGGCTTTGGGTTATTTAACAATGTTAATGGGTGTGGACTGAAAAATCCCCATTATTCATAGAGCTGTCAGAACACTATGTTCTCAAAATATCTTTGTCATTGTCTGTTCTGTCAGTTAACATGTTATTGTTAACATACATGGCCTTCTGTACCTATAAAATTGACTTTAATAGCATGGGTAGGTGCTAACATTTGGGGGAAATCTGAAGGTATGCCTATTTCCTCCCATATATCAAAAATTAATCTGGATTCAACTGACTGCTGTTTTTATATTAAATCAGCCTCCTGCTTTCAGATATTGAAAGTACTGCCCATTTGATCCAAAAAAAACTACAAAACCAAACCATTTTTTATTTATTTTAACCCAAGTAATCCCTGAATATTTTTTTTAAAAGATGGAACGTCTCATTTTTGCATTTGCATTAAGTATTATACAGGATCCTAGGCAATTGAAGATCAACGGGTTTTGTTGCTGGGCTAACAATACTGTAGCTCCCGAATGGGAAAGATAATTTCTGTAACAAAAAGGACAATTGTTTCTTTTGAAAAAGAGATGTGCTGAAGAGCACCCAAGAACAGTCACTGCTTGTCATCCTGTTGTCTCTTCAAAATTACAATAATGTGGCGGATTGTTTCTTGGAATGTTTCTTTAGGAATGTTTCTCTCTCCTCAGTATGAACTGGTGAGCTGTGTTATCCTGGCCGGTTTGTGAATACTGGATCTTCTACTTACTTGTCATGGTGACCCAGTTACTATAATTTTGCCAGTGATGTGCCCCCTCCGCTTATCTGACATTCCCACAGCTTGAATAACTCCCAGTGGCTTTCTGTGCCCGATCAGATGCAGTGGCCCCATTTACCTCGCCAAATGTTCTGCCAGGGTTTCCAGATTTATATCCTTCTTTCCATCTTCCGCCCCATGATTCTTTTCCCCCACAGAACAAATAATTCTTTACCTTTCTTCCATTTGTTGTTGTTCTACTCACCTATTGTCGTACGACTGGTTTACTCTCTTAGCCTGGCAGTTCTACCAACAGGGTATCCAGTTCAGAGCAGACGCAAATTCTGCCCTGTCTTTACAGTGATTTAGGGAGCTTACAGTGAAGTTCTGAGGCCTGGACTGGGAAAATCCTTGCTTGAAACAGCCGCGACCTTCAGCCCCGGCACCTTCTGTCACCAACCTGCTGTGTTAGAATGCAAGGCTTTACCAAGATAATGTTTACTTAGTTTCCAGAGTCACAGCAAACATGATTTAAAGCAACAGATCCCTTTTATTCAGGCACGTTAATGCAAACACAATGCCAAGTTGTCATTTGTGCTGCTTGAAGGTATAGCCACAAGGCTTAGTCAAGCCAAACACCCATAGTAAAAATATCTGGGTGAGGACCTGAAACCTTTGTGCAGACATGAGACAGCTGCAAAATGACTGAGTCAAAGAGTAAAGAGCTTTATGGTGTGGCAAAGTGTTGGCTAAAAGCCACTTAATGTTATGTCATGTGACAGTTATGCAATTAGATTGTTTAAATGGTCAGGCCTTCCTTTAAATTTAAGATTTTTGCTCTTTTATTAAAAAAAATCATTTTATGAATAGGGGCACGAAGTAAGTAAGCATCATTGCAACTGAGCTAAAGTCAAGAGGTTTATTCAGTGCTTCACTCTTTTGCATGCTTCCAAATGGAGGTTTTAATATCACAACTGAGTCATTCAGATGCAACAAGCAGGTTGTTGACAACACATTGTTTTCGCTTTGTGGATTTTCCACAGCAATCGTAAACCCAGATTAAACTGAAGGGGGGGTATAGGCATTTTGCATGGGTGAGTGGTACTGATCCCACACAAAAAAGCATCCATCTGGAGCCACCCACTTGTGCTCTTGAGCCCTACTATACATTTGAAGCAGTAGCATGGCACTTTAAATGCCTATAGCTTTCCCCAAAGTATCCTGGGAACTGTAGTGCTGAGAATTGTTAGGGAACTCCTAATCCCCTCGCAGGGACACAGGTGGCGCTGTGGGTAAAAGCCTCAGCGCCTAGGGCTTGCCGATCGAAAGGTCGGCAGTTCGAATCCCCGCGGAGGGGTGCGCTCCCGTTGCTCGGTCCCAGCGCCTGCCAACCTAGCAGTTCGAAAGCACCCCCAGGTGCAAGTAGATAAATAGGGACCGCTTACTGGCGGGAAGGTAAACGGCGTTTCCGTGTGCTGTGCTGGCTCGCCAGATGCAGCTTTGTCACGCTGGCCACGTGACCCGGAAGTGTCTCTGGACAGCGCTGGCCCCTGGCCTCTTAAGTGAGATGGGCGCACAACCCCAGAGTCTGTCAAGACTAGCCTGTACGGGCAGGGGTACCTTTACCTTTACCTTTAATCCCCTCACAAAGTTACATTTCCCAGAATTCCATGGGAAGAGGGATGGATTGTTAAACAACTCTGGCAACTGTGGCTCTGTGTGGGACTGTTGTGCTATGACAGTCTGGAAAACATGGCCATTAGAATAATACAACCAGAGTAAGTATATGTAAGGGTTATCTCTTAGATCCAGAAATCTGTAGCATTGAAAGGTTCCAATAAAAATCCAAATATGTCAATGCAACTTGAGGGATATGGTGCATTATAGATCTAAACAGTATTATAGATCTAAATAGCTTTATGTCTCTAAATAGGTTACTATTCTATTTCCAGACACTTATCAATACTTTACATCCATACCCCTGCCCACTTCTTTCTTTTGGGAGCTACCAATACCTTTTTCATAAGAGGTGACACTAACAAACGGAACACAGTATTCCAAATGAGTGCTTCATTGTTCAATGTGCTGTCATTATATTACGTTCCAGATTATTTCTGAATCCCTTTATTAGTGCACCCACGCATCTTATTTGCATTTTTATAAGTGGGGGAAAAATCATTGGAACTACCATAATGTAAGAGCAACAGAGGAACAAATTGACGTTGAAGGGCTTGATTCTGCCCTCACTCACTTGGCTTCCACGCCGCTGCAACTCCAAATGACTCATTCCTGATTTATGCCAATGAAGCAAGTGGGGAGTCAGGCCCACAGCAGAAAGCCCAAGCTGCTTTTCATGAAGCTTAAGTAACAGTTTAGGGCTAATTACAGCATTCAGCATTGCTCTTTTGCAGGAAAGGTAACTTGTTGACGGGGGATGATTTATGCTGTCGGTGGTCTTCCAAAGGAAATTGTTGAATCTCTGTAAACTCTAGCTGCTCGTTTCCTTTTGTGTACAAGGCAAAGGGATTCAGACTCACTTCATCTCTTTAATGGAGTAGCTGATGAATGTGGATGGACGAGCCTTTCAGAAGGCAAGCGACTCCGTTGCTGGAGTGCTACTCAGGTGTATGTGCAGGAATCCTCATATGTCTAGTTGGCACCTATTGATGAAGGGCAAGTAATAAACTGAACAGTAGTAGTAACAACAACAACAACAACAATAAAAATCATTGTTATTTTCAGTGTGCATTTGCCTGTGAATATCAAGGACAGTGTGAAATCCCTTCGCATCTCTGCCAGTGTTCTCTGGGTCTCTCACTACATCACTGGTGACACAGCAACAGACACCCCCCCCATTCCTCCCCTGATTTTTCTGGCGCATGCAGAGAATATCTGAAGATGTTCGTTTTGCATTGTGCTTCGTCAACATTCAGAGGGGAACCAGAATCTCTCTTGTTGCTTCCAAATGTTTTCAAATTCTGGAGCGAGATGAAGGATGGAACAAGATGCTTCCCCAAGTCTTCTTGTGTGTTCTGGATGACTCAAATAGGAGAGGGGTCAATGGTGGCCATAAATAATGGTTGACTGATACAGAGAGCCAAAATGTGTGGAACTCTGCATCCTCAATTTTAAAATGGTAGAATTTGGAACTGCATTTGGAACATACAGTGTGGGGGGAGATTCAGAGGGAGGGGTCACAATTGGAGAGGGAATGGTTAACAAATCCTCTCCAGTTGTGACTGCCTGCTATCAACCCCCCCCCCCCCGCAGTTTCCCCAAGCCTGATTTTTGCAGGCAGGCAGAGGAGAGAGCAGGAAGCATCATTCTGTAGATTGTGGCTGGGGAAGAAAAGTTAACTTTTGCTTCCCCAACTTTACTGTCCAGGAAAATCACACATCCCCCTATTCCCCAGGCTTGGGGGGGGGCCAGGAATATGCACCATTTTTTTCAAGCCTAAATGCTCACGGGGGTGGAGGAAAGAGGGGTGTGTGTGTGTGTGTGTGTGTGTGTGCATACACACACGGTTGGGCTGCATGTGTGGTTGTGGTGTGTAAGGGATACCCCCAACGATTTCTCATGTTTGCAAAATTGCTCATGGCAACCCCTGTTATATCAACACAGAAGCACTGTAAGGTAGGGTAAGCTGAAAGAGTGTGAGTGAACCAAAGTCGCTGTGACTTAGTGAAAATTTGAACTATGATCACCCTGGCCAAAGTCCAAAACTTCAATACACCCCACTGGACTCTTTTGAAGCTCATATTCATATTTGAATGCCAAATTGGATCCTCAGGCCACAGTCCAATTAGAGTTCCAGGGAACATGTTATGTGCAAACTCCATTAAAACAAATGGGAAGGCTATTTAGTAGCTCTGTTCATTTTAGACAGTGCAGCTATTTAACAGAAATTCCTGCTATATTGGTACTCCAGTCTATATATTAATGGCTCTTCTTTTTTACAATCAATTCAATCTTTCCAAGCTCCAGGGTCTCTTATTTGGGTCCCTGAGGTCTACAGGAGACATTGAAACTTCCAAATTAACATTCCAAAATTCAGAACAGAAAAAAATTCTGTAAAACCATCAAAGATTACTTCGAAGAGTGAGTAAATACCCTACAACTTCCATCACTGCTGACCACTGGCCCTGCTGGCTGAGGATGGTGGGAACTGTAGTCCAGCAACATCTGATCCCCAAGGTTGGGAAAGGCTGCCTTAGACTAAGCAAACATTCCAATTCATATGAAAAGAACAGGAGAACAAAGGAAATTATCAGAGTTGGAAATGCTAGCCATTAACAGAACCACTTCACTTGTTTTATTCAAGCTATCCATTACAGATGCACATTAGTGCTCTAATTGCTCCCAATACGTTTTAAAATGCCTTCCTCTTTTTAGAATTAGTTAATCCCAATGGAACATCTCTTTGGGCATAAAAAGAGAGAGCAGCAATCTTTTGCATGTGACTATGGATTTTGCTCAGCTAAGCTTCTCATAGAAGCAGCATCAATGCTTGTTCAAAAGACCTGGGTTTACAAATACAGTGGTACCTCGGGTTACATACGCTTCAAGTTACATATGCTTCAGGTTACACACTCCACTAAACCAGAAATAGTGCTTCAGGTTAATAATAATAATAATAAATTTTATTTATATCCCGCCCTCCCAGCCGAAGCTGGGCTCAGGGCGGCTAACAACAATCAAAATAATCCGACATTCTAAAACATTCATTATAAAATTAATTAAATCAAATTAACATCAAATTAATGGCAACCATCAAGCCAAATTCTGTGCAGATTGCCGATTGCCAGAGGAGGGGGTCAGGCTGCGCCCTGACCAAAGGCCTGGTGGAACAGCTCTGTCTTGCAGGCCCTGCAGAAGGATGTCAGGTCCTGCAGGGCCCTAGTCTCTTGTGACAGAGTGTTCCACCAGATTGGAGCCGCGACCGAGAAGGCCCTGGCTCTAGTTGAGGCCAGCCTAACCTCTTTGTGGCCTGGGATCTTTAGGATGTTTTTATTTGCAGACCGTAGATTTCTCTATGGGACATATCAGGAGAGGCGGTCCCGTAGGTATGAGGGTCCTAGGCCGTATAGGGCTTTAAAGGTTAAAACCAGCACCTTAAACCTGATCCTGTACTCCACCGGGAGCCAGTGCAGCTGGTATAATACCGGATGGATATGATCTCGCAGCGAAGACCCCATAATGAGTCTCGCCGCGGCATTCTGCACCCGCTGGAGTTTCTGGGTCAGTCTCAAGGGCAGGTTAAGAACTTTGCTTCAGGGTAAGAACAGAAATCGGGCTCCGGCAGAGCGACAGCAGCAGGAGGCCCCATTAGCTAAAGTGGTGCTTCAGGTTAAGAACAGTTTCAGGTTAAGTAAGGACCTCCAGAACGAATTAAGTACTTAACCCGAGGTACCACTGCAAGCCAAATTCTTTTCCTGCATGAGAAAAAATGAAGGATCTAGTGAC